AAAAAGTGGAAATGGCTTATGAGTTTGTCACAGGACATAGAGACCTTCACGTGTCCTTTGATTTTTCTTATATCGTAGCAAGTTAATGCCTCAACTTAAAAAAAAAAAAAATCATTTGCTAATACTTATTGGTAAAGACATATACCATGCCATTTTCTATCATTGCATTATTTCCTAGGATTAGTATAAGAAAAATCAAAGATGGTCTGATGGTGCAGTCAAAACTTTAAATTATTTTGAATACTGTTAAATGTACTTTTAAGGATGTTGTCACGAAGGATTCTAAGTGTTTTTGTGGGTTAGACAAAAGGAGTAAAGAAAGTGGGCAGGCTATTTTCATTTTTAGCTTATTTCTAGGGAAAACAGTTTTGAATAATACATTTGGAGAATTCTAGTTTAAATGAGTTTAAGGACAATTCACTATTCCTGAAGAAATTATTAGAAATCATGTTTGCTATCACCATCATTCAGACTGATGCAGAGCAGCTGTGAGCAGTAAAAGCATGGACCATAGGAAGATTTCTGTGGGAAATTTACCTGCGGCTGACTTCTTTTTTTTAATCCTTACCTGAAGACATGTTTTTTGTTTGTTTTTAATTGATTTTAGAGAGATAGAAAGGGAGAGGGGAAAAGAGAGAGAGAGAGACATCGATCATCAATCCATTGCCTCCAGCATACTCCCTAATCAGGATCAAACCTGCAACCTGGGTATGTGCCCTGAACGGGAATCGAACTCGTGACCTTTTGGGGTACAGAAGATGCTCCAACCAACTGAGCCACACTGGCCAGGGCTACCACTGACTTTTCAACCTTAAATTTAGATTTCTGTTTTCTAGCAAGATTTTAAAGGAAAGAAGGTAGAATTCTGTCTGTTCTTCATTATATCCTTCAGAGATCATTTATGCACACTACAATATATCTTACAAGCGTATTTATCATTTTCATTAGTTTTATTCACATCACAAAGTTAGTTTCTGTTATCTTAACTTGTTTATAAGATTATACCCTTTAAATTTCTTTCAGGCACAAGCATAAAATGTTAGGTGCCTTTTAATACAATGTAGTAGCCACCGGAGTTATTCTTGTGTCTCTTTCTAAAACTTGACTAGTTCAAAAGGAGCATTTAGTGTTTGTTTGTTTTTTAATGAAATGCTAGGCACTGGGCTGGTATAATCAAACAGAGGTCTCTCTTTAGCGAGGGGCAGGAGCCAGCTCTCTGTCTGCTCAGAGTAGACACCTCCTCCCCCAGCCCTATAGCTCAGCCTCTGACTTTGAAAAAGAGATTTGAAGATCTTGTTTTCTTTTTTTCTCCTGCTTTCTTTTTTGTTTTTAAACATGAAGACAGAATACACTAACTCTAGTTTTATTAAGGAGGCAGTGGGGGCAAGAAATATCATGCATAAGATTTTTGGGATATTAAAAAGAAGGTATACATTTTCGTAAGAAAATGTTTAAGGAAAACTCATTTATCACTCAGATAATTAGGTTTACTATTTTTTTAATATACTTTCTCCCTCCTGCCCTCCCCAGTGGAGGTTTACATTCTTATTTTATTCCTTCATTAATCACTTAGCCCCTAGTAACTTATAAGCTTATATATTCTCTTTTACTGGTTTTACTCATGAGTAGGGAAGTATATGCCTCTTGTATTTGTGAGGTCCATTCTCTCATCTTTTTTTATTTTATCGAGACATAATTAACTATATAACATTAGTTTCAGGTGTACAACATAATGGTTTGATATTTGTATGTTACAAAATGATCATTACAGTAAGTGCAGCTAACATCCAACACTACACATACAGTTTTTTTTCTTGTGATGAGAACTTTTAAGATCTTGTAGCAACTTTCAGATATACAATAGAGTATTATTATTAACTATTGTCACCATGGTGTATGTTACATCCCCATGACTTATTTTATAAATGGAAGCTTTACCTTTTGGTCACCTTCACCCATTTTGCCACCTTTATCTTTAATGGTCACATATTGTACTTGATTCCACCTCACAGAGTACTTTTCAGGTTTTTTCACTAAATTTCCCTGGTCCACATTTGTGGGCTCCCTTGTTGCTTTCCCTGTTCCTCCCCTTTAAAATATCCACCTTAGAAACACTGCCAAACATCTAAGCTCCTGCCTTCTGATTCTTCCGTCCATGTGTTCTTCTTCCCAGACTCAGGAGAACAGTCACTTGTCATTATTCACAGTGGCCATTGTAACACAACTGTGCCAGATGGTGTCGGGGAGAGGGGAGCTTCATCACTGTGTACAATCATTGCTCTTTCAGGTACCAGATAATGCGTTTAGAGACATTCCCAACCCTACTCCATCCTAACCCTCGCCCTCATATGGAAGAACTTCATTTTTTAATGAGCAGAAAAGATCCTGAAGATATTTTTTAAACTCTGATTGAATCGGGTGAACCTTTTCAGAGAATCAGTCATTTTCTGTTGCCAAGATCCCTCATATCAAAGTATTTGATGTGAAACATTGTGTGTTTATTACTGAGAGCTGTTACAATTTTAACTGAGGTCCTAAGTCGAGAATAAGTGATTATTCTATAGCCAAATATTTCCTCACCCACCCATCCCAAACTAACAATGTGTATGTGTCATATGCCCCAATTCAATAAGTTAACAGAATCAAAAAGCCTACAAAAAGCAGAGGGGCCCCTCCCTTACGTCAAGGGTCAGCAGAGTTTCTGTAAAATGTCAGATAGTAAGTGTCCCGTTCTTTTGCCTTTACTTACCTTCCAGGCCCGTGATCTGGAATGGCCAGGTGAGGGTCCAGCAGCATGTCTGATCCCAGTCATGCTCATGCGACACTTCTTCACCAGGCTAGATACACGCATCCTCCAGTCACACAGTGTTTTTTCCCAATTAAGAACATCCTTTAGTCTTCCATTCTTGGGGTTTATACTCTCTGTGGCTGCTTCCATAGTAACACAGGAGGTGGCTAGGAGATGCCTGTTGATGAAGAAGAGTCAGCTCCCTGAGCCCAGTGCTCCAGAGATGAAGACATGATTCATATCAAGCTGAACTTATTAAAACCCATATTTGTGATGTAAATTTCACAAACATATAGGGATCACATGTAAATAAAAGCATGTTAACAATGGCCATTGATGCACTAGATAGTAGACACCCTCCCAATCTTTTTAAGTTAGGGGTTTTGCTGATTTTGTGGGGGTTTTTTATTCTTTTAAATTATGGTCAATAAATAGACATCTGCAAAAGGAGATTTTTGTTTCTATAGGACATCCAGAATGAGTCTAAAGTTGAAGTTTGGGATTAATCCAATCCGTAGGCCTCCTCTTGAAAAAAGCCCTTTCAGAGTAATCTGGAGCTTTCTATGGGCCACAGTTAAGTGCACCAGTATTTCTAGACTTAAATGGTCTGAATTATTCCCTCACTTCTGAAAGGGCCGTTTGCAAATAGATAGCATTTATTTAATAGTTGAATGCAAAATGTAGGGTCTAGTTCAGTCTAGTTTTCCCACATAGGCATTACTCGTACATCTCATTTACAGGGCTTAGTAATTTCCTCTGTGTGTGTGTGTGTGTGTGTGTGTGTGTGTGTGTGTGTGGCAGTGTTATTCATTCATTCAAGACTTGCATGGTGCCTATTCTAGACTCTGAGGATACTGAAATAGAGGAGACCTGATCCTTGACCTCCATGTACTCAGAAATTGGTAGAAGAGAAGGCCACCTAAACAAAATCTGTATGCTCTAATGTGATAGGTGATTTAATAGAAATAGGAAGTGAGTGATTTGGGAGTACCTAAGAAAGCAGAACTGTGTGAAGATGTGACAAAGTTTAAATGAGAAAAGAATTGCCCATTCTACTCTTACATAGTGAAAAGCACTATGTTTGGAGGCAAACACATCTTTTTACTGGCCTTGAGCAAGTTACTTTACTACACTGAGCCTCAGCTTTCTCATCTGTAAAGTGGGGGTAACAATACTCACTTTGCCACTCTATACATACGGATCAGCAAATAGCTCTCTTCCCTTTTTGGGCCCTTTTCACCAGAGGCCGTGTGGGCCAAGCAACATGTCGTTGACTATTGGATGGAAGGGCAGAGGAGAGATCAGTTTTTGTGGGGTTGCATGGGGACAGGGCTCCCATTCTGAATGAGAGCCAGGAAAAAGCACACCTGGGTCAACTATTGTCCCGCTCCCTTTGGGAGCTGATTTGGACAATGGATAGTGTATCTTTTCCCAGCAAAGCCTTTGCATATTTTACTGTCCTTCCAAGTTGGCTGAGGGACCTGGTCAAATTACATACTTCTTCAGACTGCTTTTCACTGTGAGTTTCTACACTGAACCAATTCTGTGATTCCTTAGGGCTCACTCTAATTCCCAAGTCACTGAAAAAGGTACTTGAACTTTACACTATTAAGATAGCTAGGATTCTTTCCCAATAGTCAGGCAAAAAGTAGATGTTTATGAATAATATGTACTTAATACCTAATTTCTGGGAGTGGTAGAGTGCTTTACATTTTAATGACATATTGTGCATTTTCAGTGACTGATAAGTGGACATTGTATCCTAAAATAGCCTTAAACCATCAAAGTAATGCCCATTTTGGAGTACTGAAACAAAACATAATTAATTACCCTTTATAGTTTTTGTGAGTTTCAGCCGTAGAGCCACATCAGCGCAGGTAGAGCTCTCGCATCCCATTTTAGTCTACCGGCGGCCCTTCTATCCAGGAGCCATCAGTCTGTGCCTTTTGATAGTTTGACTGCAAAGTAATTCGCCTGTAATTGAGGATGCAAGTGTTAACTAACGTGCCAGACGTCACGGCAGGAGAGGCCAGAGGGAACCCACCATCTCTCTGCCCCCAAACCTGCTGACGGGCTGGTCAGGTTTCCCTGAGAAAGGATTTCCCCAGTGGCAAATCCACTGAAAAGAGCGATTCCCCAGTACATAGCGCTGGCCCGGTTATTACGGAGAAGCGATGGAGCACCAAAGCCCGTGTCCCTCTGTCTCTTCCAGGGGAGAAGCCCTACAAGTGCACCTGGGAGGGCTGCACCTGGAAGTTCGCCCGCTCCGATGAACTGACGAGGCATTACCGCAAACACACGGGAGTGAAGCCATTCAAGTGCGCGGACTGCGACCGCAGCTTCTCCCGCTCGGACCACTTGGCGCTGCACCGCCGGAGGCACATGCTGGTGTGAGCCGCGCTGCCGGTCCAGCTGAGCGTGAGAGCTGGCTCTCCCAGCCGCCCCCAGTTCAGCAGGGCTGAACCCCTCCACAGTGTTCACACGAAAGGGCATCACCATCCCACGATGTCTGAAAGCAGAGCAGGCAGAAGGACCCCTTCTCCTCTGGGTCTGCAGGTAACCCCCATCGCGACTCCACGAGAAACGACTGCACGCTGGCCTGGGAGATCGGTGGCACAGAGGCTGAAGAGACAGGCATTGTTTCCCGGGCCGTGTACTCTGCCATTGAAAGATGTTTGTAGCTTGTACATTTTCTGAGCTGTCAGACGTTTTGTTATTGATACTTTAAAGGTCACCTGCCACAAATTGATGGCTCGAGCGAGACCTTTCAAATTGGGATGGTTCTCCCATCGTCCCACCCCTTAACCTCTTTTTACAGAAATTTTAGTTACCATCTGAGTGAGATAGAACACACATCCAATCTGTTACCAGCAAGCAGCATGAAAGTAGAAAAGAAGAAGCTCTTGGAGAGGTTCCATTCATTACCTGAAAATAAAGGGGCACTCAGGCAGCCCTTTGCAATAGGGATGGCGGCAACTAGATAGCGCCCGCAGCTTGTCACTATGCCATGCCCCGAAGAAAACCAACATTGAGTCTTTCATTTGTTTGTTGTTGATTGTTTTTGTTTTGTTTCGATTCTGTTTTGTTCATCTGTCCGCGCAGAGGGGCGGCGACATTTCGGTTGGAGCCTGGTCCCGGTGTCTGCCCTGGCATGGACTGGCACAGAGCTGTTGTGTAGTTGAATAGGAAGAGCCTGTCTAAAAAACTACTGCCCCACTTCAAATTGCAGTGTTCTGTCACCTAGGCATCATCTCTTCCTGCCCCTAGGATTTGATTACAAGGAATCAGGGGGAAAAAAACTTTCTTAGACACACTGGCACCAAGGTAAGAAGAGGTGGGGCTGCCCAGGCAAAGTCAGTGAACATGAAAAATCAGACAAAGCAGAGATGGAAATAATGCGCCTCTTGAGGAGAAAAGCAATAATGAATAAAAGGACTTTCCTACAATAACTTCACTGAGGACTCACGTTACCAATTTTCATACTTACTAAAGGGATTGTAAAAAACACCCCAGCATTTTAGATGTCTTGGTTACATTTACAGCACTGAGGTAATCTTTCTGCTGTTTGTTGTCCTGCTTGGTTGACTACCACAACTAGAGATTATGCTCCCCTTTTCTTGTTTGAAAACAGTTATTTGGTGACTAGGCCAGGGAGGCATAGCAGGGAATTAACTCTTGGGTTAATGGGTCAGCTCTCCTTGGAACCGAGTCAGTGGAGAGGGCGTGCTCCCCGAGGAAAGCCTGACATGGTGCTAGTTTCCTCACTTGGAGAGCCAAGGATAAGTGACTCTCCAATAGGTTCTTCTATACAGATTTCATTTTCTAAACTGTGTCAGGACCCCATGGTTCTGCATTGGCATCTGCAGGGATGTTGAACCCACTCATCCTGTGCTGAGGGTGAGAGGAAATTACAGTCCCATCAGCCCCCTAAAATTATGAGCCTTTTTGGCATCTAGCAAAGTATACAGTAAACAAAGCAATACATCACCAACAAGCATTCTTTCAGAAAAATTATCATATTTTTCTTCCACTAAAGCTGGGTTTTTTTCAGCTTTTTGTGGCTAAGGGGCTTGGTGAGGTTTTTAGTTATTGTTGTTAAGATTTTTTATAGCTTAGATATAAACGTTGCCAGCATATAGACCTTTGCAATATATTTTAATTACGAACACTTGATTTTGGGAATTGCACAAATTAACCTCACAATATTACTAGCTCATTTTTAACCATTTGAACATTCTGAAATAATCTCCAGTTGCAGAATTATCCTTTTTAGGGTTGTCTTCTAATTCAGATAATCTTATACTGATGATGAAGCAAGAACTATAAACATTGAAACAAAGACAGTTTGTGTTGGATGATATTAAAAGCTTTTTTTTTTTTTATGTTCAAGTAACAGCATAATGATTTTCAGGTCAAATTCTGTCTTCAGAAATATGTGCTCTACATTTTCTGCCAGGTCTGAAAAATTCATCAGGCAATTTCCCTCCAACAAGGGCTGCAGTTCAATTGATAAATAGCTTCTTTAGCTACACAATCTACTACCCACCAAGCACTGGGATTTTTTTACCAGCTGGAAAGTTTTTTATCTGTACTGTATGCAACTCCTACTTCTCATTGCCTGTGACCATTTGGAATAGAAAAAGGTTCCCTGACGCATGCCAGCATTGGTTATTGGTCTGTGGCAAAGAACACAGAGTGTCGAACGTAGCCTGGGAGCTGTCTCCACTAGTCCCAGAACCTAGTTGGCAGGTGGTAGGTGAATCACTCAGGTGAAGTGTAGACTTGATTCCATTCTGCCTTCTCTCATAAGAAGGGCCAATTCTTTTCTCTGCTTGAGAGTGTTACAGGTAGAAATGGTTTTTTAGAGTTCACAGAACTGACAGGCGGTGGGAGCTTCCTGAATGACAGCTTGATTTAAATTTAGCCCAGAACTAAATGAGCTGCTCCTCTCTAATCATATAAGAAAGATTCAGGAAAGTGAATTTTTCTCTCATCCTCTGAAAGTGGAGACCAGACTGAGACAGTAAGTTAACTGATAAAACCTGTCAGTGTTGCACCGTTTCCCCTTTGACATGTCAATACTTCTAAGGAGAGATCCAAGCACAAGTAGTGAATGAGTTGCTGATCTCTCCCCAGGACTGAAACTTCCTTGGGGCTTGTCTTGGGACATAGCAAATGCTCTTTGTTGACTTTTCTACAAGTGTTTCCCCATGGCAAGGAAAGTGGTTTGGGAGAGAAGGAACTGGATTTTTAAGTAGGAATACATTTAGGCATTTCGTCCTATGTCCATTCTAGCCTCTTTTGAAAAGCACAGTAGGTGATGAACAACAGAAAAGTAGAATCCGAAGGACTCGTCAGTTGTTCCCTAACCAGAAGCATTTCTTGGTTTTAACCTTGAAGCAGTTCAGTCCGTTTGCAGCTGGACATGTGTGCATGTGTGGGAACTTACACACAGGCGGCGGTGAAGGCTGAGAAGCTGCAGCAGCCCTGACTATCTCTTTGTGGAGATTGTGGAGATTGAGTTCAAGGGAGTTAAACATTATTTGAAAAGTTATAAGGTTCAGGCTTTGCGGTTTAAATAGATCCCCTCTTCATGTTCTGATCTTAATTGGTTAGGAAGAAGATCCCCATTCCCCACCCTCCTCCAGCCCCGTCCTGTCAGCTGTGTGTGCACCCTGAAAAGCCTGCTCGATAACTTGTCGTAAGTTCTCTTACAACAGTCAGACTGAAATTCCGAGTGGCTTTACTCTAAAGATCATCCTACTGCCTGGCATTACTTTTACAAAACACTATAGGACATTTATTTCCAAAAAGCAGTTGAATAGCAGTAACATAAACCACACTGAAGAAAAAAAGAGAAAACAAAAGCACTTTTTTTTTTTTTCCACTTTAAAATTTAAGTGGAAAATAGGAAGAGGGTTTTCAGGGGGGTAGGAAATCTTACAAAAAGCTACAGTGTTTACAATGCCAGTTCTAGATGAGAAAGGCCACTCTTACTATGGTTGAAATTTTGAATAGCTCATACAAAGCTCTGTTCATTTTTGTACAACTTTTCTAAACTTCAAGTTGCCATTTGTGTTTTAAACATAAGTATGATTCTGTACTTTGAAATCAGTTCATTAGAATGATAACATGTATATGGATAAAGATGCAGTATTCCTTATTCTGTACTTTATTTATTATACTTACCAAAGCCGCAATTGAATAAATCTGATGAGGTGAGGCCTTCAAATGTATTAATACGCTTTTGTTACGCTGTTATGACTGCTTAGAGATGTAGCCGTAATGTTGTTATAAAGATGTCTTGGCATCGACAGTAAGGACTGGCAGAATTTAAGCAGTGTTAAGAATACCAGCATCCATGACACATTGAGTTATTGCCTTCGTACGAGGGACTGAACATGATATAACTCTTACGCATCATAACAGGCCCAGGAAGCCTTAATGCTCATAGTCCATAATCCAAGCTCAGATTTTGCTCTTTATTAATGCCTGTAGATTTAGGGAGTACATGTATTCCACCACTTCACAGACCGAATCTCTTCCTTCAGTTTTTCTGAGGTAGCGCATCTCATTTTTAAAAATATTTCACTTTGATTTGGTTCTGCGTAAAAATGAGGTTTGGTAAGTTATGTTTTCCATACCACATTTCTGCTTATCCCCACACTGCCATCTACTTACCTGCACCGGCACCGCCAATACATGCACACCTGTAGACACACCTGTATATGCAGCAGCCAATAGGCTCATAAATATCAAGAATAAACTTTTTTAAAAGAATGAATTTGTAATAATCCATGCTGTCTACAAATGTAAGTTATTTACCTTATTAGGGAATCAGCTTATAATGCTATATATAACTTTGCCTGCATTTTATAGCTAAGAAGTGTACATAAAATTTTTAAATACTATATTTTCACAGGTTCATTATAGAGTAATGTCTGTTTAGCAACCCATGTCCATTGGTACTTTAAATGTGCTAAATACTGTGCAATTGCAATAGAAATTCAGATTTTCGTAAGAAGATGAAATTGAGGATACTGCATCTTTAAAAAAAAATAGAGTGAAGATATTTTACTGTATTCGTAACATATGTGATAGTGGAAAAAGTATTTTCAAACTCACAGATTTTACAGAGGTTGTAAATAGTTTGATGAAGTATGTTGGGAAAAAGAGCTTCTAGTTTTCATCACAATAAAAAAAAGAAAACTTGTTCAGATATGCCTTGTGTATCTTACACACAATTAGCGATATTGCCATGGGAACTGTGTTCCACTTTCTCACAGCACATTCCTTGTGCTTTGACTAAATGGAGTGGCCACTTGTCTCAGTTTAGCCAGGATGGTTTAAAACACAATGAACTCATTTTAAGTTGCAAACAACTGATTCCAAACTCAAAATGTCTTTACCTGAAAGGGGGTAATAGCTGCACAGGATTTTACTTGTGCTAAGAGATGCATCTAAGCAATTGTTCTCTTTTCTCAGTTATCTTCTTCCTCAACCAAGTAGTTCTTGATAAAAATAAAAATCTATACAGGTGTTTATTCTTGTTTAATTCCAGAGGGAATACTTGTAGGAGTAACTACATGTTGACAAGATTAAGTGTTATGGGATTGGCCACATGTTAAATGAATCTATACTGGCAATAGGAATAAGCTAATGCCCATTTTCAGAAATGAATTAAAAGCTGAAAGTGCCTGTCAATAAATATTATGACCAATGAGATATTCCTGTACTTTTACACAGCAATAATTCTTCTTCAGACTGGATTTTTTTCCTCTACATTTGGGAAACATATGCATGTATGCACACAGTAAACTGGATCTGTTCATACACCGTCAAAAAAATTCTCTTGTGTCTTCTTAAATATACCCAATCTTGTTTATGTTAGCATTTCTTAATTCAGTCTTACAGAATGTAAGAATGCAAACCTGAATATTAAAGTTATCTTCAACATACACTATGGCACATGGCAGTTATAATTTTGAGATAAAAAACTTCACTGTGATTTGCCCCAAACTTAGGAAGCACTGAGTGTGCCTCAGAAACTTTTGCTTAGTTAACAGAAGCCAATTTATTCAGAACAAAACACTAGAACTATCTGTTTGTCTTACTTTATTTTATCAACTAGTATCAGATACACAGATCCATCTTAATTTCCTTTTCCCTGATGTTTTCTGTTCTCATCGAAGAACCGTTTGGGAATGGTTTATCCCCAAAAAGTCTGTTGAGGCATAACTGACATAGAGTAAGCTAAGGTTTGCAGTTAGTCTTGGAAATTTCCAGATTTACATTGAGAACTTCACAACTTTTTGCTGTAATTATTGTACTGCTAAAAGTGGAGTCGTGAATAGAAATATACAATGAGATTATATGGATAGACAAGAGCCCTGGAAATTCTCCAGCCCTGCCATCTCAGCACAAATCCACCCAAACAACCTACTGAGGGCTATCAGTAAAATTATACTCTTTTAGAGCCAAACATTTGGTAAGAGCAATTTTAAAAGTATGATGGTAATTAAACACTCGGGCTGTAGACAGAAGATGACCAGGATGCACAGTGCTCTCTGGAACCAGACCACAGGCCTAGAAAACCATCTACTGTTTCCTCCTCCAAGCTTCAGAAAGAAGGAAATGAGCCAGGGTAGGGTGTAAAATAACCAATGGAAGTGTCAAAGGAAAGCTGCTGGACTCCTTAACCTTCCTGAAGTCAAGTCTTCTGACTGGGCTGTTTTCTGAATGTTGTCTGAAAGTACTAACAGAACGTCAAAGGTCAAAAAGTCAGCAAGCCATGAAATAATGGCTCTTCTTTATTAAATACTTAGTATGTGCCAAGCACTATACTGGGTAATTTTTTAGACACATTACCTCTCATCTGTACAGTGCTACATTTTATGGTTGAGAAACTGAGGCACAGAGAGAGGCCGAGTCGTCCTCAAACACAGAAATAGTGAAAGGCAAAGTGGGGATGGGAAGCAACCTGGCTCTGGCCCTGAAGCCTGTATTCTTTCCACCACACCACACTGCATGTGTGTTCCCAGCAGCCAACTTTCCATATCTGACTCTAAAGTAGTTTTTATTATGGATGCGTAGTCATCATATTTTCCAAGTAAGATACAGAGACATGAGATAGCATGTGATTTGACAGTGGTACAGAATATTTGAAATCCGGCTTCTCCTGGAAAGTCACACGTGAAGGGTCACTATAAGCAAGTTGCAATAACCAGAAGTCTCCCTGAACTTGTCAGTATCCTCTTACCACTATCCTACTAAATGATCGGCCTGAAGATCCAAAATCATCAAAACTCTTCCCTACTTCCCAGCATTTTAGCCAGAGTGGGTTTTTATGATTCTGTGTATTTCTTTAGATGTATTAAATGCCTTTCCACCTATATAGCCCTGCTAGAGTCTGCTTGAGGTGCGTTTGAAATCTTGACTTCCATGGAGCTAGTGGATGACAGAGCCCATTCCTCGCAGTTGTTAATGGGGCAGCGATCGCAAACATTCAGGTGAGGAGCATGGAGAGATGAAGGTAATTCCTGTTCAGATTTCTCGCCTAACAGCACTGCCTGGGAATGTTTTAAATAATCTTATAAATAATTTGTTTATAGTATTGTTAGTTCAATTGAATTTTTGTGAGAAGCTGTCCAACATTAGAGAAATGAAATCCCCTCCTCCTTTTCTGTGTAGAACAAGGTCTCTGACAGTATTGATTCATAGAAGTACTAATGGACTTAGAAAACATTAAGAGAATGTCATTTCTCATGGTGTTTCTTTTGCTGAAAATGAATCTCTTGAATTATGATCCTTCTGCCTGTTACTTGGCTGAGGGAAGAGATAAAACCTGCATAAACAGATTCCCTCCTGTGCTGAAGGCAAGTGTTCGGTGTGCACAGCCCACTTCGGAGAGGGGCCCTCCTCTCCGTTAATTGGGTTTCACAAGCAATAATTTCTCAGCAACAAAACCACAAGTTTTAGTGAGGTGAAAAGAGATGAATCGTGGAAATAGTCACATCAGTACTTTTTTCATTCTAGACTTCATCTCTAGAAATTTAAAATGTTTGAGACAAGAGAGTCTGCTCTTTGTGTAAAGCAAGAACCAATAACTCTTTGTGTGGATTATTATATTTTGCTTTTTCCAAAGCAGGCTTACCAAGACTTTTATAGAGATTGATTTTTTGGTTGAGAAATGAGGGTGAATAGAAGAGTAGTATTTGGGTCAAATTCTAGTACTAAAAGTGTCAAAGTAATCAAAAAGTAAGATATTTTTAAGGACATACCAGCATCTTTCCTTTCTGCTAATTTCATGCTCCAAAGATACCACATAAAACATTATAGAAAATGCTTTTGCCCTACTTGTGCTTCTAGTTTTTCCATAGCAGAATTTTGTAGTTACATCCAGACTATAGTATCTATTTTGTTCCTCAAACTTCATTACATTGGGTGGGTTTGTTGAACTGGGGCACTGGTGCCTATATTCAAGGCTCTTTCCTATCAACTTGTCTGTCCACAATTTGTTGTGTTTAAAAGTTCATTTTTAAAAATCACCATCCCCCCCTGGAATGGTGGCTGTATTGTTTTGTTCATGTCTGTGGGACACATTGCATCACATGGCAAACCAACTCTCTGTGGAAGTGAGATAACTACTTGCAAAACCAGCTTGAAAACATTGTCTTATGTATTATGTCATCCTGCATCATAAAGCAATTATGTGTATCATAACGTGTTCATTTTAAAAAAAGAGAAACCAGCAAATTCATGTTTGTCCATAGAAGAATGTACTCAGAACATTGTGTGTCGTGAAACGATGAGAACAGACCACCTTTAAGATACCCACCTGCCACTTAAAATGACATAGTTATAATTAGTAGTAGTCTAGACGTTGCTTTTGGTGTGTGTGGGGAGGGTGGGGGGATCAATTCAACCGTCATATTCTTTTGAATAAATCTCTCAGTCGTATTTGAAAAAAATACATGGTAATAAAGAAAAATATCATCTTCAGCCAAATCAAGCAGGCATCTTTTCCCTTTTCCTTAACACTTAGCTCATTATACATGGCGATTGGATTACAAGATCTACCTGTGTAAAAATACAAAAACATCCTTTAGGCTACAAAACAGTTATTCTAGGTTTGAAATCCCTGAACAGCAAATTGAATAGATGTGCTGCATCTGATTCACTTGTCGGATGTAATTTTACAGAAGACTTGGGTGTCTGACCCCAGAGAGTTAGAGTGCCCAGAGGAGGTCCTACCCATTAAATGATAAAACCCCCCAATGATGCTGGCAAGCAAATGTGTTCATTTCTTAAATCTTCATTTGGTTTTCTGTTCAGAGTTTTAATTACAAAGGAATTTATTTCTTCAGCTTATCTAAAGGTCTAATTTCCCAATAGTTTTCTCTGCATTTATATACTCTGTAGTGTTTAGGCAAACTCTGTTATAAGTTTATTAATATTATGTAAGTGTTGTTCTTGTATTTATGTATAGTGTATGTATTGTAAATATACTCAGAGCTTTTTTCCTTTTACTGTAAAATGGTGATTTTTTTTTTTCCCTATGAAAATGTAAAGGGAGACCCTCCTAATGAGATTCTCTCAGAGGATGATTATTCCAGTCTATTCTCAGAGATTAAATGAACAAGTGTTATCGTTTTTAATGGTGTCTCAGACATATTCTGTTGGTGCATTGCTTTTCTGTATTCAACTCTCCTATGAATTGAGCTGTGAACTGAAATAGAGTTTAAACCTTTAACTGTATGCATTTGTATAATTATCTGAATGAAGGCATGAAGGTTAAATAAAGCATTTTGTATGGAACAAAACTCCCTAATTATTACTAAGGCTGACTCAGACACTTTGGAAATCATAGTTTATTAACAATTCTAATTAAACTTTGTTATGAAAAGTTTTACCAGTTCTCTATAGTAATTTAAAGCACAGAACAAGATTGACTCTACATTAAAAAATGAACTGGGCTTTTATTTCATAACAGACAGCGCCTGAAGAGGGATTCCTAACAATATTTTAATGAATGTAAAACTAAAAAAGATCCGGAAATATAAAGTGATATAAAAAATGCACTTTTCATGGGCTAAAATTGAATCTCCATTAATTATAATTTTTCAGACTTTGTATGTCATTTAAATGTAGAATGATCATTAAGCACATGCCAAGGCTAGGTGATTTCTGTAAATTTTAAAGAAAACTGGATTGTAGAAGCTTTTGAAATTAAGACCATTAATGAGTAAAATTTTAAAATAAGCACTTGAAAAATGTTTAAGTATCTTCTATAGATTGTCTTTCAACTGATTACAGAGAATAGTGACACATGATAGATGATAATGGAAATAATATTTGAGTACTTCCTACATTTCAGGGAGTATTCGAAGCATTATATGGTCCCATTTTTCATTATAAAAAACTTGAGTTACATTCTGCTATTATGCTAATTTTGCAGATGAGAAAGTGAGGCATGGAGTTTAGGCAACTTTCCTAGTCAGTTTGGTTCAAGTATCGGTGTCTACTAAAAGGGTATAGGTTAAGGGATAGAAAAAGAATGGAGGTGGGGAGCAGGGGTCAAGGTGAAAGGGAAAGTTAATAGCAACAAGTATCATAGAAATTTTCAAAAAATACCATTGATTGTATGTGTACAAATAAATATAAATAAACCAAACAAATACTAGCCTTCATTTCATACTCAGCAAACCATAGTGTAGTTTGATAACGCATAAAAATCAGAGACTGAAATTAATTTTGATTAACTTTATCATTGGTGAAATCCATTTCCAAATGAACGTTGAGTTCTGTGAAATCATTCTGCCCCATTCAGAGACACTGTGGAGGGAGCCGGGGCGGCTGGAGGCCACACTCCATGCCCGGGAGAGCACGCTGCGTCCGCATCAGCTGGTGGGATCAGTGTACCATGGCTCTGACTTCCCAAATCCTGCTGCTTTGAGCTCTAGGAAAGGATCCTAGGGGAGCGATTTTTCTTTCCCAGTGAGAGCTTCCCTTTGTGGCTATCAGCATCAACTGGATAAAAGAAATCATTCCCTGAAAATTGTAAGATTGTTTGAAAATTGAGGCAATAAACCATCAGTACATTTTTACTAAATTATTTGTGAAGACTTTAGTTAGGCTATTTTAGAAATATTCCATTAAGGCAGGGGCCAATAAATTATTAAAGCCTATCCTGATCTGCACTCTGGTGAAGCATGGTGGTAACTAGGGCTGAACCTAATTCACTCAGTTCCTTCATTTTGGATATGATTTTGTAACAAAATGGTAAGGTGGGTATTAGATTTATGTCTTTGGCCTGATTTTCTGAGAGTTCTCATTAAACCTGCAAGCAGCCAAACCAGCTCTCCAGCTTTGTTTTATTCGTTTGTTCTTCCAATTCACCACAAAAGGTTTTGTCATAAAGATAAGCCAGTGAGACAAATCTCATGGAATAGATCACAACACTGTTTTCACTCTCATGGTAAATATTTGCCAATACTTCTTCTACCAGTTGATTCCTGGATACTTCAACAATAAGTGGAATTATATAGGTGCTAGATCATTCCATAACCTTCTCAACCCTCACCTTTATTCTGGGTGTTTCACCTGAGCTATGATTTCTAATCTCAGTGCTGATATCTTCATTGTTTCTTATTCTCTCCAATTTAATGACTACAAAACAACAGCATGAAATAGTTAAAAGCTCAGAAACAGTAATGTGTTTAAGATTAGAATACCTTGGGGCTTTATCAAGCAGAAAAAGTATTTCAGTGCTAGGACAAAATTATACTCCCTACAAAATTATTTTAGTCCCAAAGGGCCACTGATGATTTTCATACCATATAGTGCATTGTCTTCCCACCCAAAGTTGCATGATTTCCTTCAACACAATGAGTTCCTTGTGCTTTGTCCTAGTGCTGTCTGGATTTAATATATTTCTCTCCCAACAGTGTAATAAGTATAATTTACATCACTTCCTGTTTAGTCTAAATTCACCAATGAATGCCTACACAGTCATACACTTGAGTGGTTGTCTATTTCTGAAAGAAATTACATTTTCTTTGTACAGAAACAACTTTTACATAATCTTTTTCTTTTATAGTTTCACTGTGTTAAGTGTGTGAGTGTGTGTGAAGGTGTGTGTGTGTGTGTGAAGCTCAGTTTTATGAGGCCATGATGACAGCAGCAGGTATACTAAAAATAGGTTCACTCCAGGATACCCCAGAATTGCTTAAATACATGTATGCCCATCACAATGCCCCTTTTTCTCTTAGTATAGCTACAGTTTACGTGCACATATTGCAATCCATTACTTTGGAGAGGATTGCAAGGCATGGTAAGTCTGTGTAGTGAGCTACTGTGATGTCTAGGTTCCTTAGAGCTTTCAAACTGAACCGAAGATTCAGATCAATTCCAGAATCTCAAGGGTAGTCTTGCTGCTGCCTCAGACTCCTCTGAACTCTTAAACTTGACCATAGACCAGGCGATGGTGTAGATGTGTAATATTATGGATCATCTTCAGAGCCCTTAAAGCTTTCATTAGTGTGGCCAGTATATCCCGTTGCTGAACTAGGGTCTGTGGACCCCACTTCACCTTTCATTGATGATTTAGAGCCATTGCTTTGTAATATGTTCAGGGGGAATCCACACAGTCACTTGGACATTGATGTTGATTCTTTCATAATATATGTAACAATATTATGTATCTTAAATGAGCATTTAAATTATATATTTGAAATGTCTAAAACATGGGGAAATGGTTAGGAAATTTCATAAAGCATATTTATTCAGCTACTCATAACAAGTCAATGTTATTATGGTTAGTAGTAACAACTTTTACACACATAGAATAGGAGAAAGCATATACTTGAGTTACTACACTGTGTAGGTATTATGATAATTGATATGGGACACAAAAATTGTACGTAAGACATAATCTCTAACCAAAAATAGGTTACAGCCTATTAGGTAGATAAATACACAGTTTCTACAGTATAAAATATAAATGGATAAGCACTATCAGAACTGACCAAGGTGTTAGAGAAATGTAAAGGTAGAGAAAATAGCTTCAGTAACACGGGTAACCAGAAGGCTTCCATGACTCCTAAGATCCATATTACATGCAGATGATCAGATCCCTAATTCCATGCCCACTGAAAGACCAAAGCTCTCCCCAAGATTTCTGTGACATTTGTGGGGGTGTGCAGCACTGGGGGAAAAAGAAAGACTAACCTCACCTGAGCAAGAAGAAATTCTGCCAGCACACTGCCTTTGGATTTGAATTGCAAGTCCTCCCTGAGTCTAGCCTGCCAGCCCACCCCATCAGATTTTGGGCTCACCAAGCCTCTTCAATCATGTGAGTCAATTGCAAAAATTTTTTCTCTCTCTCTCCGTCTCTCTCTCTCTCTGTCTTTTTCTCTCATACTGCTATATCTATATAAACATATATATTATGTTTTCTTAAAGAAAGCATAGTAAAATAACTGGTGATTAAAAATTATTTACCTGTCAAAATTAATATCAGTTGGTGGTTTATCAAATTGTATTCCATTACCTTTCACTGGAATTTCCTTACCTATATATACTTATAAAAGAATGAAATTCCTTTTTTAAAAAATGAGAACACAGACTTTTATGAACATAGCAAAGCACTTTATGGGGAGAGAATATTGTGAAAAGTTCAATAATTGTTAAAATTACAAGGTGCCAATTTACCTGAAAGTTTCTGCTTAGACTCTCTGACAGGACCTATGCGCATTAGCATCTGATTAACTTTTCAGGATTTCAATCCACAAAGTCTTATGACAATTTTTTAAAATGTATTTTTATCCCTGTGATTTTAAGACACATCTTTTCAAGGAAAGTCTTTAAAACAATTCACATTTAGAAAGCCCTAAATTGATGCCATAACCCATATATGAGTCTCTATTTAGAAATAGGTTTCATTTGATTATTTGGCTATTGGTTGGGTTTTAAAAACATATTAGATGATAAAAAAGGATTTTGAAACTCAGAATGATAGGTGGCCTATAAAATTCACTGAAAATCAGAAAATAAATGAATGTCTAATCACTATGTTGGACACCTAAAACTAATACGATACTGTATGTCAACTATAATTTAAAAATAAACTTTTAAGAATGAATCAAAAGAAAAAAAACAAATTGTTTTTTTCAAGTAAAAAAAAAAAAAGATACGTTGATTATAGCTCTTGCTGAGTAGGTAGAACTGGGGATTAGAAACTTAATTTTTTTGTCCGAAATGTTGTTTTCCCTCAAGTTGTTGCATTCACATGGTTTAGTAGCTTCCTCTGTGACAACAGGGACCTCAGGAGCAGGAAGACATGAGCATGCACAATACTTCCTCATATCCAGGGCAAGTGGAAACAGGCCACCTCCTCATATTTAATTGCTGTTTTCTTTCTTCTTCCAATATTAATGTATTTTATTCCAACATTGTCATTTCCTGTCTTTTGTGAAGGATTCTGTAATATTAGAATCATTCACGCCAGATGGGGCCTAAACATTTTTGCATTTCCTTTTTTAAAAATTCATCTTCTACACTGATGTGGCTGTCCTTACTCACATGAAACCAAAACAATAGTCCCCTTGTTATGAGGGGAACTATATTTATTCACCAATGTGCTGGATGTATCAAATGAAGTATTTATTTAGATTTTGTGCATGTGCAACAAACTGCTAATCATTGCCTAGCTATTTTCCACCATAACTAGCTACTCCTTCGTCTTCGTCTTTGCCTTTGCCTTTGCCTTTGCCTTTGCCTTTGCCTTTGCCTTTGCCTTTGCCTTTGCCTTTGCCTTTGCCTTTGCCTTTGCCTTTGCCTTTGCCTTTGCCTTTGCCTTTGCCTTTGCCTTTGCCTTTGCCTTTGCCTTTGCCTTTGCCTTTGCCTTTGCCT